GGTCTGTGTACATCAGCCATAGCGCTTAGCTTGCAAGTGACATAAATTATGACTCCTCCTCCTCGGCTTAGTCTATCTCTCCTGAATTGCTGATATCCTCTAAGTGATATTTCTGAATCTGCGATATCTTCAGTAAGCCACGTTTCTGTGAATGCCATAATGTCTGGCTTAATTTCATCAACTAAGTCTCTTAGTTCGTCTAGTTTGTTGAAGAGGCTTTGCACATTTGCGGATATAACCTTCAATCACTGATTTGTTGGAGAGGCCCGGCCTTCATTGTGACGGGTTCTGACCACAGGAAAGACCCCTTTGTCTAGACTATTTGTCCATTTTTGATCGTCAGCCCTTTCTTTCCTCTGCCAATTCTCTCCTTCAGTTCTGATCTCAGTTCTATCATTTTCAGTCTTTCCCTCGGTTCGTAGTCTGGTTGAAAAAACACTTCCTTGTGCGAATTGCGTAAGGTCGTTCTACTTTCTAACAGAAGCGCTGCTTGGGCTTCGTTTTCCAAAATAACTTTCAGGGGTCTTGGGGATGTTTTAAGGTCACGATTTGGGTCCGCTCTGCCTAGTCGGAAAGCTTTTTTAACGGTGAATATTTCCCCATCCTGCAGGACGGCACTGGCGTACTGATGTAGAAGGTCTAGGTCGTGCGTCACTCGTTCCTTCGGAATGCAGGACGTGGACTCTGGGGCGTCCCTTATGACAATATTTTGCTTACGATTTATGGAAGAGCTCATTATTGTCCCGTCCGCGCTAGGACGATATAATGCTACTGTAGTATTCCCGACGGCTGTTGTCACTTCGACATTTGAATGATTTTCGGCCGGCGAAGGGGGTATAGGGCATGGATTTTTATGTGACGTACTTGCTCCGGCAGTGGAGCTCTTACAATCATTACCCTGTTGCAATGTACTGCACGAAGGCTTATCGTGTCCTTTTCCATAAACGGATTGGTTAGGGCACTTTCCAGATGAGTTAGCCTTGTGAAGAAGGGGAGTAACAGCATTGCCTTCCAAGAATAACGGCGAGTCCTTGTAGCTTCTAACAGATCTTCTGAGGGTCACCCTGGCTTTCCCAACTTTAGTGTTCGATGATTTGACAGGTTTAGTTACAATAGCAGGTAATGGAACCTGACTTATTTTTAATGCATTAGTGTCGACCGCCACGTTATCCACCGGAACTGATTTCTCTAGAGTTTCCTCTGGAGACATAACTTGCTTCCCCTTCCTGACTGGCTTTGACTTTTCCGCGCTAGTGCCCTTATTAGTAGGATGTTCGTCGCCGATCGATCGAAAATTTGGCGGATTATTTGGTAATTCTATCTTACTGTGCTTAAGAATAACCATGATGATGTCCGTCAGTAGGCCTTGCTTCTCTTCTAGCGTCTGGACCCGCTTTTCAAGTTCCTTACAGCCGACACAGCGACCGACAAGCGCAGAATCCGTCCCGTCTGTCATGCAGTTTTCGAGGCCTCTTGGCAGTGCATCGGTTCTTATTTCCTGTCTTATCTCTTCGAGCCTATTGTGCGTAATCTCCCTGGAGTCTAATGATTCCAGCGGTATTTTATCGCAAGAGACTGATAATGAATTAAAGACCGTTTTCAGCTGCTCTTCTGTAGTTGATAAACATATCTGACTAGCGCCAAACCGTTCATCGATAGTGCAGTTTAACGCTCTGGTCTCCAGATCCGCAGGTACCGAGTTCAAATCCCGGTTGCAGAACTTTTGTGAACGACTTTTTTATAACAAATTGGCTCATTGTTGATGATTTTCAAACTCTTCAATCAGTTCTAGAGTAGTGCAGGATGTTTTCAACAATTGTTAGAATGAAGAATTTGCCAATTATGAAGTTAATAGGAAACGACTCAGCCGTTTATAGTTTTCGATGTAGATCTCGGAGAAAAGTTGTCAAGTAGGGAGCCTTGTACAGATGGTCGGACGATTTCAAATATCTTTTGATGGAGAATTTGTGGTATACTTCACCGGTGCGAATGAGAAGACTAATCAGTGATGCTGTTCCTTGAAGAATTCGGGTAGAATCTTCCTCCTGATACCGTGGGAAATAACGTCGAGATCCGAAAATTCCAATAATGATAGAACTTTCGAGTTCGTGTACTTGTAATCCAAATCCAGAGGATACGTTGTCAGTTCGCAATTTATTTCCACGCGACGTTCAGTCTTCCCTATACTATCAAGTAAATTCGACGAAAACTCGGAGAGCTGGGGATACGGCTCAAATTCGAAGGACGCGCCGGAGGCATGCCTGAGTCTTCTTCAGACATCCAAAAAACAGAATAAATCACGATACATAATTATTCCAGCAATACCTCGAATCCCTATTACAAGATATTAAAAACATCGCCGTCTTGAAAGCTTTTAGAATAGGACCAATTAAGGATTTGATGAGCAAGTCGTGCCATCAAAGACCATTAAAATTATTCTCGAAAATGAGGAACAAGCTCTATTACTGCTGAACAGGAAACCAACACTGCGAGATGCCCACCCAACAATTTTTTCAGCCGGATTTCTCACCGACCGAACGCGAGAAATGGAGGTAAGTCAAGTACGATCTCTTCAGAAGATACAATTCCGGCGAGAATAACTTAAAAATATTGAATAGGAAAATCCTAAATTCATATTGACCCAACTGTGAAAAACTCGTCACCTCGGTGGGATTCGAACCCACGCAGTAAGGGGAAGGCTTTAGTAGAGCCAACGCTCTAACCACTTGCACTACGATGCCCCGCTGGATAACGTCATTTTAATCATATTTGCGTCAAGTTACCTGCCCAACCTACTGTAACGTCTGGAATTCACCAAATCTGATACAGTAAATTGAGTGCCCAAAGCAGGATTTCCTAAGTTATTCACCTAGAATCCACCAGATGACTACTAGGCTCACGTAATTCATAACTGTTTTGGCAGATTTTGAATAAGTCACATTGATCCAACTGTGATTGACCAAATTTGATTAAACTCGCGTCGTCAGGTGGAACCTCGTAGCTCAATTGGTTGGAGCGTTGGCTGTACCAAAGCCTTCCCCTTACTGCGTGGGTTCGAATCCCACCGAGGCGCCAAGTTTTTCACAGTTGGGTCAATATGAACTATTCAAAATCTGCCAAAATATCTATGAAAATCGTAATTGTTAGGAGTTCATTCCTCTGGAGACAACCGATAACACTGGGCATAATGAACAAGCTCCTATCTGCCAAACCGACCAGAGAAAACGACGGCCAACACACTGACATCCTGTTCAGTCAAACAGCAGTAGACCCGGAAGTGGACGATAGACCCAAAAACTCTCAGGAAATATTTACCAACTTTCGGGAATCTGCCCGGGCTAAGCTCCGCTTTCTTTATGCAAATGCTTAGAATCTGTTCCAAAAGCTAGATGAGCTGAAAGGTTGGGATATCAGATGCGCAGCCGGATGTCATTTCTACCACAGAGACTTGGTTCCAGACCGAAGTCTTGGATGCCGAAATTACATTCGATGAATACCAACATTTTCGCCGCGACAGACTGCATAAAAAGGACGGGGACTAGCGATCTACGTCAAGAGAGGAGTCATCGCGTCAGAACACAAAACCGATTGCTCCCGCGACTGTGAAACACTGTGGTTAAAACTGACGAATCGTGACCCACCTGATATGGATTTCCTGACCGTATACAGGCCGCGCAATCAAACTGCTGAGGTTGACGAGGCGATATTCGGGTTAATTAAAGAGGTGTCGCAAAACCAAGTGGTTTTTATAACTAGAGACTTCAACCCACACATTGCCGACTTGAATAATTTATTAGTTAATGGTTCGCGAAATTCCTTTGATTCCAGGCTCTTGAAGGTAACGGCTAATCTCTTTCTGGTACAAAACGTCACGTTCCCAACCAGAATCAGAGGGGCCTAAAGAGCAAATTGTCTGGACCTCGTCCTTACAAAAAACCCAATCAGCCCTGGCGAACTTATTTCCATAACACCGCTCGGCAAGAGTGGCCATGTCATGCTGTTTTGGGAATACCGCCTATGCGACAAACAAGTTAATACAACTGAGCATCGGCTGAATTTCTGGCAAGGAGATTTTGCCGCCATGAGAATGGAATTATCGGCAGTGGACTGGAATGATGTTCTTTCCGGACATCAAGATGCTGATTGGAACACTCTTAAAGGTGCTGTAACCGACATCATGCATCGAAACTGTCAGACAAGGAGAGTGAAAAAGAATAATTGTCTTACCTGAATGAAGCGGGATATAGAATAGAATAGATTTATTATAGCGCCCCTTGGGCACTGTCAGTTTCGCTTGAACACAGGAAAAAAAACCTAAAACAAACTCATCCATTTCGATTGCACTTTGACTTTATTTGTTTTGGGTCTGTTTAGCCAATAGAGCGGGAATTGAGAATTTGTTTTAAGTGAAAAAACCGAGTTCCAAGAAAAAATAATCACAAAAGTTTAAAGAAAGAACGATATGCACACTATAAAAATTGAAATGTGCAGTTTGGTAGTTTCTGGGTGGACATGAATAATATGTCCTCCATGGAAAATGAAGAACTTTGATATCGGCCTGACCTTGAAAGTATTTTCCAGTTGGGCAAATTTTGGTGTGCTCTAGTTAGTGGTTGTCAGTCTGTAGCAAACAAGAGGGCAGAACACCGTTCCAAATCAGAAGATCTCGTCGAAGGAGGGAGAGTGTTTATTAGGGAACGGAAATAGCGGGAGAGAGAAGTGGGGACGAGACACAAGGGTGCTCAAGAGGAAGAAAAAGTGAAACACAAGCAGGCAGCCAGAAGACCCAACCGCACACGCCACTTGGGGAAGCCGGAGTCTTCCACGTCCAATCAGGCGTCCTCTTCTGTGACATCGCCCGGGATTGGTTCTTCGGTTTCTACCATGAGTTAAGATCAAGCAGAGAAATAAGACTATAATAAGGGTATGGTCATGACGAGTTTTCCATCACACTGCCCCCTCCTGTAGGACCGATGCCCCATCGGTACGATGATCAGGGATTAGGCCGTCGAGTGGGATTTCGAAACCACCTTCGGGGGGTAATTCCACAGTACGAGAAACCAACGGGGGCAGAGGACTGAGGAGAGGGGAGACGTAGGGACTGCCGGAGCGAGAGGAGAAGAGGGGACGGAGACGATTGAAGAGGGATCCATGGGAGGGTGCGGCAGCTCGGCAGAGAGGAATGAAGGTAACTCCGAAGAGACAGGGCCGCAAGAGTTACCATCTAAGGGGTATGGTTTGAGCTTGTTGAAGTGAGCCGCAAAGGTGGGACCCTCTGGATCATCAGAGGCCCTGAAGGTACAAAGGACTTCTGAAGAAACTTCCACAACAACGAAAGGCCCTATCCAAGGCGTGGAGGACTTGTCGACTGACCCAGGAGGCAACCTATCCTGAAACCAGAATACTTTGTCGCCAGGTTGGTAAAGTGCACCGTGCGCACGACGATCATAGTACTCTGTTTGTCGCTGACGGGCCGTGGAGAGATAGGTGCGAGCAAGCTCGTGTGTACGGTATAGGTTAGCTCTAAGTTTTCGCACAAACTCGTGGGGAGGCTCGGGGGACGGAAGTGATATGGGACAGGAAGTGTCCAGCGGAAGACGGACTTCGCGGCTGTACATAAGGGCAAACGGCGTATGACCCGTTGACGAGTGCGTGGCGGAACGGTAGGGAAGAAGGCAATTGGGGAGAGAGACATCCCAAAAGGAACCAGGGCAACCGTTAACGAAAGATTGGATCAAACTTCTGAGAGTCCGATTCGTACGCTCTACTTGCCCATTGCCTTGAGGGTGTTACGGGGTAGAACGAGAGTTACTAACATGAAGAAGTTCGCAGAGTTTTGCCATCAGCCGGGACTCGAACTGAGCACACTGGTCTGAATGGAGCCGCTCAGGCACCCCATGGCGGCAGATCCACTCGCTAAGGATGGCCTTAGCGACGGTGATGGCGTCGGCTTGTGGAAGAGGTACCGCTTTATACCACTTAGTGAAAAAGTCCACAAATCTAAGATATAACGATTTCCGGGGGGGAAGGAGGCATAGGACCCATCAAATCGACACCGACAATTTCATTCGGGTAAGCCGCCTGAATGGGCTGCAGTGGTGCGCGTTGTGTAGGGTTGGGATTTTTGAATTCGGCACATACAGGGCACGTGTTACAAACGTCCTGAATGATCCGTCGTTGATTCGGGCGTCAGAAACGCTGACGCGCTGTGGCGTCGGTATGAGCTTGACCAGCGTGCCCCAGATCAGCATGAAGACGGGAAAGTGTGGGATGGATCGCATCATGCGGCAAAACCAAACAACGGTGGTCGGTTTGAGAATACTGAAGTAAGAGCACGCCGTCACAGAGGCGATGGCTGTTCCACCCTGACCAAAAGCAGCGAACTTCCCAGCTGGAGCCCTTGATTTCTTGCTTGACGGTTTTGGCGCACCCTGACGTAACCGATCATAAATAAGAGATATATAGGGGTCCGGAGCTTGAGCCGAAGCCCACCCTGAGTGGTCGGGAGTGCCAAACGTAATTGCAGTTGCTGGGGCGTATGCGGCGGCCGGTGGTGGTGTCACTTCTCGGCGAGATAAGGCATCGGCATTCTAGTGCTTTTTACCGGCCCGACGGATGACGGTGTAGGACTATTCCAAGAGGTCTGCCTGCCAGCGAGCGAGTTGATCGGTTGGATCCTTGAAGTTTTCCAACCAGCGCAGCGCCTGGTGGTCGGTGCGTAAAATGAACCGTTCGTCAGCGAGATAGTGATGGAATTTCTTGACAAAAGTGACGACGTCAAGAAGCGCCTTGCGAGTGGTAGAGTAGTTACTCTCAGACTTGGTGAGCGTCTGACTGGCAAAAATGAGGGTATGTTCCAGTCCATCGGGTTGTTGTTGTTGAGACAAGACTGCCCCAATGGCTACATCTGATGCATCAGTGTCCAAGGTGAAATGTGGGCTGACTCAAAGACTCACACCTATTTAATAATAATAATAATAATTTATTTAATGCCAGTTTACAGGCATCAATTACAGGCTATCAATAAACAGGGCTGAACCGAACAGTATAGATTTTTGCCTGAAAGATCTTGTGAAACATGTCACGTAGCCTCTCCTGATCTTACCACTCCCCTTCGTAATGATCGGCGGTCAAGGATAGACATCCTTTTTCATCTTAGTAAAGTCCTTACCAAGGTGCTGCATAAACATCTTTTAGTAAGACTGGAAATCCTCAGCGCCCAGCTCCCTCAGTCAGTCAGGGTATTTGAGTGTATTCAATTCCATTGGGTCCTACTTATTCAACTGCCATCAGAAGGTCGTAGTTGGTAATTGTTACTTGATGCCTCACTCGGTTACCAGTGGCTTGCTTCAAGACACGGTTATGGGTCTGCTACTCCTTTTTCATTACATCAATGATATTTCTGCAGAAATAAGGAATTTGCAAACACTTTTTTGTGCTGATTACCTCAAGTATGGTTCTGCACATTCTCCACATTCTACAATGTAAATGTTTTTGTTGAAGGAGTTTCCTCCGGTATACTATGCTTGTGGAAATGGAGTCTAACATGGCGGACGTATTTTCCTTCTTCCAGGTGTGGTTTCGTGTGCTGTGGCCCCTCTAGGCCTCCTGACATCATGATCTTTCAAAATAACCGTCTCTCAAAATGATCTACCATGAAGGACCTTGACTTATTTTATGCAGATAGGCATTTCTTAGTTATTCGTGCAAGTCAATTTTTTTCAAATGATGCGCGGATGTGTGGGTTCACACTACATAAATTTTCCCTCCAGAGATGAAACCAAGCCTTTATAATATGTTTGTTCCTCCCATCCTTAGATATCGCAGTCTTTCTTTCGTTTCATGAATGCATGTGATCACAGTGAAATCGTGTTGGGGTCGTCTGCATTCTGAAAGACAATGGCCAGCCGATCGCTGGAGGCCATGTAGGTTTTCCTTAGCACGCTGTGAGCATAATGGTTGCGCCACGTCATTGGCTACTCCCACCGAGCCTGATTGGTCCATCTAAACGAGAAATCGATCAGCCCATCTAGAATTTCCTTTTCAAAGTGCACTAGACTGATTGCAGGTTGACCCCAGTAGGATGTTATAAATATGCGTTATTTGTCCGGTTAAAATGCCTTACAGTTTCCTAATGCACTTTTTCGTGGTCGGCCATGTTCTCCTCCTCTACCACGTCGGTATTAGGGACACGAGTAGTGTGTAAACACTCTCCGCATGATTTCTAAGTACCAGACCGGGTCATATCAAACGAAAATGTATAGAGAGATTCATTTGAAGTCGCTTTCCTCAAACTGAATCCGATATTTCTTGTACTGAGAAGCGTCAAGATGCAGGCATCAAGTTTTGTGGGTCAGCAGGTTTGAAGCTGCC